AGTGATGAGGAGATACAGGTGGAGTTGGAGGGGAGGGAGTGGGCATGGGTTTGATCAAAACACCTTATATACATGCATGAAATTCTCAATAAATTATTTAATTTTTTTTTAAAAAAAAGATGACTACCAAGAGCCCGGTGAGGTGGTGCACAGCTATAATCCCAGCATTTTAGAGGCTGGGTAGGTCAAGGGCAGCCTAGCAAGACTGTTTAAAAAAAAAACAGCAAGAACAAAAGGAATTATATCAAGAATTATGGCAGAAATGGGGCTTGAGAGATGATTCCATAGGTAAGAGCTTCTATTGCCCTTGCATAGAACCCCACTTCAGGCAGCTCACAATGACCTGCAACTCCAACACCCTCTTCTGGCTTCCCTGGGCACTGCACTTATGTGCACAAACCTATGCATAGACAGACAGACAGACACACACACACACACACACACACACACACACATTTTATAAAAACTTTTTAAATTTAAATTTTTATTTTTTTTAATGTGTATGCATGTATGTGAGTGCACCCATGTCATGCAGTGCCGCAGGGGTCAGAGGAGGGAGTCAGATTCCCCTGGAACTGGAGTTAAGGACAGTTCGTAGCTGCCATGTGGGTGCTGGGAATAGAACCCAGGTCCTCTGCAAGAGCAGTCAGTGCTCTTAACCACTGAGCCATCTCTCCAGCCCCCATACATAATTTTTTAAAAACCTAAAAAAAAAAAAATAAGCTGAGTGTGGTGACGCACAACTTTAGTCCCAGTACTAAGGAATTAAAAGCTGAAGAGAAGGTTTTTAGTGATGCATATCATAAAGAAGAATTACTTTGAAAATATGATAACAAAAAAAAAAAAAAAAAAAAAAAAAAAAAAAAAAAAAAAAAAACCTTAAAAAATAAAAAAAGAATTATGGCAGAAAGGATGAAATACTACATGTTAAGGTCAGGCTAGCAGAGGGAGACTTTTAACTTATTTTAAAACTGGCACCTCTATTCCATAAAGGGAGAAGTGAATGAGAAAATTGTAGTGGTAATGATATTTCTTTTATAGTGCTTAAAACCTTTGATAATTACTTTTGTATCTATTCTTTCTCTTTGTAGGAAAAGCCATTGACAAAATCTCTACAGCGTGGAGAAGACCCCCAGTTTGATCAAGTATGTAAGATGCTATACATGCTATGTCTTTTCTCTTTATTCTAAAAATGCACAAAATGAGGACTGGGTATATAATTTCGGTGGCAGAGTAATTGCCTAGTGTGAGCAAGGCATGCTGTTTAACATAGGTCTGGGTTGAGGGAGGAGCTACAAGGTGCATGGGGGCTAGCATGCGTGCAGGGATATGCAGTGTTGTGTGAGGAACTTGTGGTTTTAATCCTCTGCCTTCAGCATTTATATTTGGGTTTTAGAGACTGTAAATGTGTTTTGATTTGAATTAGAAAGAATTGGAAGTGTAAGAACAATATAAGTAGCCCCTCAATTGCTATCTAAATCTTTGTATACCAAAATTAGAGACAGAGAAAAGATAACTTCAAGGGAATTCCATTAAAATTTTGAGATTCCTCTGAATAAGCTATACTCAGTGAGTCTCTGCACTCGAGCTCATTTGTATTTTCACCCAAATATTTGGATGCTTACCATTTGCTGGATGTACTGCTAGACACTAATGATACAAAATCCAAGGTATGTTTTAGCCTTTCATTAATTCATAATCATGGGCTGGAGCTGTAGCTCAGTGATAGAATGCTTGCCTAGTATGCTCAAGCCCTGGTTTGATCCCTAGCACTAAAAAAAAATGAAAGATAATAATTTACAGTCCTGCCAGGCTTTATGGCACACACCTGAAATCCTAACACTTGGAAGACTGAGGCAAGAGGTAGCCTGAGAAAGCCTGGAATACAGAATGAAACTCTTTCATTAAAATATAGAAAACAACCGTGGTTGAGCAGGACCTCTGACTTATCTTCACATAGGTGGAACTGGTAAAAGGAAGGAGCCAGGGGCTCCTCTCAAGCCCATGTGACCCCTGAGGAACAGATCCTCAAATGACCTTAAGAGTGAAAATAAATCGGTTAATCTGGACCAACTGTATGGCCTTAAATGCCCAAAAGGAAAGTATAACCAAGGATTAAAGGGGCCAATATAATTTCATAAGAGTCTATATGTATAGCTAAAGGCTACATAACAAGCAACAATGCCAGACAGGAGATACCTTCTTTTGAGTTGTTGGCTAGGGTAGCCAAAGGAATTCCCAGATAGTAACCCAGCATAGAACTGGGAAAATGAACAGCAGACCCCAATCTTATCCAAGGAATATTGATAACTGATTATCGCTAGATGAGGAACATCTGACCCTCCTAAAACAAAGCCCTCTAGATAGGCTGACTAGATTCACCAAAAGGGCAAGTAGTGGGGAATGGCTGGGGATGCTGACAACACAGCAGATAGTAGCAGGGATATCAGAGTATGAGGACTCTAGTAGGGGGAGGGAGGCTATGGGAGGGTGCTATCTGGGAAGTGGGTGTAAAAATAAATAAATAAATTTTAAAAAATATATAGAAAACAAAAGGCCAGGCATGGTTGTGTGTGCGTACTAATCCCAGCAATCGCGGGCCAGAGGCAGGCTGATCTCTCAGTTCAAGGCCAGTCTGATGTACATAGGGAGTTCCAGGCCAGCCAGGGCTACATAGTGAGACCTTATCTCAACAAAAGAAAGAGAGCTAAAAATACAGCTCAGGGGTAGAGCACTTATCTAATCAGTGTGTGGTCCTAGATTCAATCCTTATTGCTGGAGAGAGAGAAAGAGAGAGAGAGAGAGAGAGAGAGAGAGAGAGAGAGAGAGAGAGAGAGAAAGAAAGTAAGTGATGGATCTTATGTTAATACTGTGCAATGCCACATTACAGCTATGCTTGAATAAAGACAGCCTGACTCTGCATACATTTTAACTAAGAGGAGACCCAAACTGCTCTAAGCATCTTCGGATTACTCTCAGAACTATGCTTCCAAACAAAGGCCTTACTCTTTTATTGAAACAGTATATCCAGCATGAAATGGGGAAGTAAAAATGGACTCTTATCAAAGGAGAATTTTGTCCCTTCTAACCCCTACTGACCTAGGACACACACACACACACACACACACACACACACACACACACAGAGATGTTATCAATTTAGTTCCATCTATTGTTTATAGAACAAATAGGATATAATCTTTGATGTTTCCAGTAAGTCTTTTCTGTCTTCAGCACTTGACGTATAAAACATATACTCACATTCATACATTATTCTGGGTCAAGGGTAAGGAAGGGTCATGAGGGATTAAGGTCATATACTCAGGCCACAAGAGGAGCACAAGGCTCAGTGAACTTATCTACATTATAAACAAGTTAGGATAAAATCAACTTTTTGGTTGCAAGGTTAAACAAAAGTCATTTTTCCAGAATATGTCTATCTTGTAAAAGTCATTACCGGAAGGACTAACAAAAAGATGTTCAACCCCAGACAGCACATACTGATCATATGTAATCAGGATCTGAGAGATTCTGGTCCTGTAACTTCAGAAGGGTTTTGTATGTACTTAAGAAAGATATACCATGGAACATCAAAGGAAACTGGACATATGTTTGTGGTGCTTTCCAAACTTCTACAGCAGATGCCACAGAGGACAACATGTCTTCAAAATTTCAGCCAGCACCAGTATCAGAAGCAAGATACTGCTAAATGCCTCATGGCCTAATACACCATGGGGAGTTTATAATCTGTGAGTACCACACAAAGAATACACTTCCCACAGGGCTTCATGCTTTCCTTCAGTGTGCCACACAGGGGAGATGTTTCAGGCTTTACAAATCTAAAGTTGTGTGTTCCAGAAGCAGACACCATGGCAATGAAATGCTCCATGATCTGTACCCCTGAGAGACACTCACAGACTCAGGGTCAGCCTCTCAAGGCTGGTGTGGCCCTAGGCTTTTTCTGGAAGAGCTGGCTGTTTCCTAGTGTGCTAATGAGATAGAGGGTGGCCCCCATCCCTCTGCTCCATGTTGCCATTTCCCAGTCTTACCTGGCTCTTGCTTGGTTGGTCAGAGAGCATTAGTGAATGTGCTCATGGTTGTTTGGTGCCACCAGCTTGGAAGTGTGGCAGGCGTGGGCTCTTTCTGTTCTCTTTAAGGGTGTGAGTATTTGTCAATTTACCTGCTATATTTTTCATTTTATTTCATATTCTTCATCCCTTTACTCTATTGTTACTACCTTTTCTTTGGGAAAAATTTTTTTCTCCAGCTTTCTCCATTATTCTCTAAAACCTTCTAAATTTTAACATTGCAGTTAATAGTTACCACAAAATATTACACTTAAATATCACTTATCATCTTTTTCAATATATATTTTTTTGAATTTTTGAGTTTATTGTTTTTTATTCAGTATTGTAGAAAAGCAATACCATTTGGAATAAGACAGACCTGGACTTAAATCTTAACTTCCACAGTTAGTTAACCAGATTACTTTTAACTTTGCAAATTGAAATGTTCATGGGCTTTTGTTATAAACATCACCGGGGAACTGATAGTCAACCTGTAGAACCTTGGCCTTGCCCCAGAGCTATGGATTCTAAAGCTCAGCAAGAATCCCAGGTGGCCCACATACACACTGAAACTTGAGAAGGCCCATTCTGTACCATCTCTCTGTATTCAAGACCAATGATAAGATGGTCACCAAGAACCAAAAGACTTAGAACATTGCCCACTGATCTAAATATTAAGTTTACACATGAACCATGAGAAGGAACAATTCTATGATGTCTGTCTCATTGGAAAGAGATAGACCCCTCCTCCCCAAGGCTCCAAGTTGGTCCTCATGTGAACTCAGAAAAAAAAAAAGGTGGCAACTTCCAAAATTGCCTGTTTATGTTGTAAATGTGTTCACTCAAAAACTTAGGTATTGCCAATGCAGCAGTAATAAGAGCTGGGCTACTCTCCAGTGAGGGGGTTTAATGGCCCATATTAAAAAAGCTTGACAGAAGGAGTCATTCCCTTGGCCCTTCCACCTTTTGAGGACACGGTACTCAAGGCGCCATCTTGGAACCAGAGACCAGACAATGAAGTTTCCCTGTCTTACTGGGCTTTCCACTCCCAAAGACCATGAGAAATAAATTTCTGTTCTTTATAAGTTATCCAGACTTGGGTATTTTGCTAAAATGGCACAAAACAAATTAAGAAGGACCTGTGTGCTATTTCAACCAACAGACTGAGAATTTTGGTTCCTTTGACAAGCCCATGAACGTATGAAGGTCTTTGGATATTAATCATTCAAATTATACAATTCTTCTTATTCTGCATCTACATAGTAGGATTTTAATCTGGATTCCCATGGAGACTTGGTTATTGGAAAGTAACATGCTGAAGATGCTAGAGTTGTGTAGATACCATTAACTATAGACTAGTTTTAACTATGGATAATACAGGTGATGTTTATGTAGTACATTCTGTAAATCACTGTGCTAAGTACCTTTAAACAGTGCAGCTGGTCCCCTGAGAAGATGTTAGCATCAATTTCTTCCTCTTAAATGTCACTAATGTGCAAGATGGAGTTATAGACCTGGGCTTCCACTGCCAGATCCTGGCAGACCCTGTTCACTCCTTCACCTGCCATTCATTCACTTTCCTCTTACCAGAAATAGAATCCGATAATAATAGATAGCAATAATATGCAATGAAGCCATTTCTCATGGTATCTTAGTCCAACAGCTCTAAGATATCAGTATGGCCATTGTCATCATCACTGCAATTCACTGCTATGGAAATGAGTATCAAAGAAGTTGCTGGATGTTGTATGACTAAAACCAGAAGCAGCCAAGACTGGGCTCTATAAGTTCTGATTATAAAGGCTGTACTTTTTTCTATACCTTGCTTGTTTCTGAAAACTAGCTGATGAGAATGACAGGGTAAGTTTTCATCAGACAACTGTGGACCTAGGCTCCTGTATCAGATATGATTGATTCAGTCACCAATGACAACTAAGATAAAATGGCTTGAACAGAGGGAACTGTAGAGGAAATTAGTCCAGGAATTTTTTTTCCTCATAAATGGCTTACTAATTCAAAGGTCCAGTATGGCTGCTGGAGCTCAGCCACTATGTCTGCTGCTAGACAATAGGAAGAAG